CACAAAACATCATAATATAGAGAACAAACAATTTCTGTATTTGTTTGCTAATTACTGAGAAAGGCATTCTGTCTCAGTGTATCATCGTTTATACCCGTGACGGAAAAAGGCAAGAGATTTGGTAACACACCACTTGTATTGAGGAAAATCCCACCACATTTATACATTTTTAGCCATATTTATGGTTGGCTAGGTCAGCGGATAGTAGACTGTTCTGATTGGTTGTTAATCTTCAAAAGGTTAAAACTGTTCTGATTGGTTACTGACTACTTTTTGAAGGCCAAACTGTTCTGATTGGTTGCTGACTACTTTCTGAAGATTAAATCTTGAGATTATCACCTGACCGACCGTAACGTAAGCTAAATCCAAATTTGAGGAATAATAAACCCTTCCTCCTACTTCTGTAGCCACCGGCTTAAAATGTTGTTTTTTTCCATTTTGGCTACTTCCTCTCAGTTTGTGTCTATATACTACTGATAAATCTTGTCAGTAACACACGCCACATACCTGCTGCTTGCTAGCTAGCTGTATGTCGCATTAATTCACATGTGTTGAGTTTTCAACTATGGATTGGTCTAGGAATGTAAACTCTCTTTCTTCAGGGAGTACGATTGGTGTGTTCACACAACGTACATAGATGGCTCTTTGTGAAAGCTATCTGTGAAGATATTGACACTATGATATTTTAAACTTTCTTTCCTTATTTTTCAGTTATCAGATTGGTGCACCGGTAATCTTAGAAGGTCGTGACGGGTCAAGTCATCGATGTTCTGGTACTATAGCATCAATCGGTGTACAAGATATCGCTATTCGAAGAAGTTCAGATCATGGTATATGTCGTGTAACAGTTCAACAATTGAAACAAGGTAGATATGCTTTATGGCCAAATAAAACAGAATAGATTGAATTTGTACACAACAAAATTATAAATACAAAATACGCAATAAAATAATATATTTGTGTAATTAATTTGTTTTTTTTACTTTTGAATACATTGACAGTTAGAAGACAAAAGGGCAAAGTTAAACTTTAAGCACCACTAACTACCACCAATCAGCGAATGACCTCGAACGCACCAATCACGTGAAAGAGGCATTTTTGTGCATGGAAAACATATATTTATGAAAAAAAATTGCATAAAAACTGTATTAAAATGTTACAGAGGATACCTTCCTCTCACATGTGATAAAAATAGCTCTCAGTGTTGATTGGAGTATCAACAGAGTATAGTTCCATTGTGGGTAAAATTTATTTTGATAAAGTCTCATAGTGTTATGCAGTAATATTTACTGGGCAATAAATTGTGCTCGAAACGTCGTCATCAGTAAATATTACTGTATAACACTGTGAGACTTTATCAGAATAAATTTTAACCACAAAAGAATTATGATGTACCATAGTGCACAAGTTCTATTCTTATATTATTAACAGAGCAACTTAACCATATTCTAGGCATGTAATTATTTAGGTTTTCTTCTAACCCTAACGATAACCCAAATCTTTCCTGAACCTAGCCATAACGTGAAAATATGCCTAAACTAACCTTCATCTAACTCGAACCAACCCTAATGTCGCCTTTATTGGGTTAACCTAACCCTAACTTGTCTTTGGCTTAAAGAGTAACTTAATCTTTCCCAAACGTAAGCTGAAACTTGCCAGATACTGCATTTAATAACCTAACACTTCGATGAGCATATTTTATTGATGATGACAACATTACTTGACAGGTTTAGCTAATTTGCTCAGTGACCGTTTCTAGGTCGTTAGTTCGGTCACACTCCATTGGTATTTAGTGTTGCTTAAAGTTTAACTTGGCCGACAACAAAAAGATTGAGTGAAGAGTACTCTCTTCAACAACTTCCTCATCTGGCTCCACCATCATTGTTCCTTGGTGGATGGTGACTAGCAGTAGAATCCAAGATAACATGCATTTCTTTCTATTTGCGATTGGCTCGTCAGCTGGATGTACCGTGCCTGTATTCCTCAGCGAGTCAGTGATGTTGTTCCCCTCCCCCTCCACGTAATCAAGCTCGAACCCAGTACCCATCGTTTCAAACGTCAATGTGGCTTTCCTGGCGTGTAATTGGGTCGAAGTGCTTGGCCTTAGATTGTGACATGTTGGTTCCTTGTGCAGATGCTTCGACGTTGTGCATTCTGGATTCCACCGCTAGTCACCATCCACCAATAATTCACTTCAAGCTAAATAGTAATCAGACATCGTCAAAACATCTGCACAAGGAGCCGACATGTCACAACCTGAGGCCGAACAACACTTCGGTCCGATCAGTTAACGGAGAAGTTCGAATTGAATTAAATAATTATTGTTTGTGTTTAAGTAATATCAGTTTATTATCGTCAGTCGAATTACAATTGAAAGCCATGCGTAAATGATAATATACACATACCTGCTCTCTCTGAGCTGAGGATGTGCGGCTACTCTCTACGCACTTGACTATCTCTGTCTCCGTAGAATTGTTTGCGTTCGATGGCATCAACGTGTGGGTGATTCAAAGGTCCGGTCCGGTAGTGTGTGTTTGGACACAGTGGAGCTCATCATTGGTTGAGTGTCATCATTTGAAAACGCCAGCTTCGGTGGCTTGGATATGTGCCATGAATGTCATCCCGTACCGGTCTCTTTTCGCTAGCTCTGGGATGGGATGGAAAAAGCGGAGTGGTGGTCAGCCTATGAAGTGGCATTGAGGGATGAAGGATATCTGTGTTAAATTAGCATTGGTTGGAGCGTCACCACTCCTTGGTTGGGGACCGAGAGATAGCTCGAATCAGTGGCTCGAAACGTTATCGGATATGGCCAAGAATCGTAATCAATGGCGAACGTGTTGTAATCTCCTTCTTTCCTCCCTTTCTAACAATAATTGGCGAATATTGTTTCGCCTTGCTAAATATAGCTGCTTCCTTTCCGGACGAAGTCCTTATTCATTCTCTATCTCCTTTTTTATATTTTGTTTTATTAATATTGTGTGGCTCACCTTCTTGGTGCCTCTACTGTTCCATGTTTTGTGTTTGAAATAAAATTATTCAAATTTCCGAAGTCTTAAGTTTGGGGTTCTTCAGGTTGTTTTCGATGGTTTCAACTACATATATATGTAGAGGACGAACTGGTGAGGTCAAATTAAGAATAGTCGGAATACGGTGGACAGCTTTGAATGTGTCATTATCACTGACTTCATATTTTGGTATCTACGAGAGGAAGAAAAAAACAGAACTATGTGTATTGACTTTATTCATCGCTTGCTTAATCATGCAGGATAATGTATTCAAAAATGTTCCAATGATGAATATGATTGATTGTACACCCAATGTCATTCATCCTAATAGGAACAATAAAACTGGTTAGATACGCAGAGAGGAAGAAAAATTTGGCAGTTTATCCTTATTTCCTGAATGTAGAATTGAAGTAGTTATAGTGAGACAGTGAATTTCTGCCTCATAGGATACTCCTTTCCTTACAGACATTATTATTAATGTTGGTTCTCTGACGACATCTCCCTTGGAGTGTGGAAATTTGATCGCGGTAGATTTAATCGAAAGACAATGTCAGTTAGACTACTGAGATGGATATATGTTTTGTCCTACTTAATGGTGACTCGTCAGCATTGTACACGTTGTTAGTTGCTTGAGGTGTTTGCGCTCCCATGGAGTGTAGTAACTCGACCAGAATCTGCTACTTTGTGAATAGTACAGAGCAAATACTATCTATCCAGTATGATAAATTATATTTATATTCGACTCGAGTGGGTCTTAACAGTCATGTCTTTTTGGGTATTCAATGCATACAACTTAAAATCCCCACCGAGTCATAAAAAAGTAAAGGTGTTCAGTGAAGAGTTATTCTTTTTGGCGATGTTATTCTCAAGCTGTACAATCGTATATATACATAGTAAATTTTCTTAGCAGCAAAGGAATTATTTCCGGATATGCGTCATTAGAATTGTAAATTTTTTGACAACAAGTTAAGTAATCTAGAAAGCGTTGATCGGGTAGAAACTAGCTAACTGACGGACTGGTTTCACAACAGAACTTTGCACAGATGTACAGCAGTTCGAGTTGCCACACTCCATGTATCACACAAAGCACGAGAAGAAAGTAAAAAGAAATGCAAAATAGAGACAGTCAACAGAGATATGAGGCAAAAAGAATAGTAGTACCGACGAACCACATAGTTTCATTGGAAATCATAAGTCACAAGGAGTGGATGCATCTGCGCCATTGACAACGAAGATTTTGAGCCATATCAGTGATTGTCTCCAGCCACTGTCATTGGTTTTTACCGTCCTGGGGACCTTAACCAACCAGTCAGGAAGTCTACACCTTCCCACGTGGCTGGCTGGCTGGCTTAAACTAACTGTTGTGGATTTCATTGACTGATGTAGCAATATTTTGGTTTGACCACAACTGGCTCTTTTCCAAACGGACGCTATGTCAGCTAACATTGCCCATTGTCGAGGAAGGCGTTGGCTAGGTATGCGTAACACATGTCCTAACCATCTCAGTCGATATAACTTCACAGCCTCGTCGATTGATTTCCCCTCCTTACCTAGCTGGCGCTCGACTGATGCTTAACTTCAATATTGCTCATCCTATCATACCACTTCACATGGGAGATAAAACGCAGACACCTATGATCAAAGACAGCTAGCCTTTTCATTTGTACCCTTACCTACAGGTTTATATATTAGCGAGAAACAAATAAACTTAAGTGAATAAATGACAAATATAAAAAGTTCAATATGGTAGTTTAAGATCAACCCACTTCATCCATCATAGCTAGAGCCAACCAACATAAACCCAGCAAGAAGAAATTACGTATAAAAAGTTTAACTACTCAAAAGTAGTATGATTAAAAATAAATTAAATACAGTTAGTCTGTTACAGCATCAAGTGTCAGATATTCATGATCAACGTTCAATGCTTCTCCTGCCTTCAGTCTGGCTGGATATAGAAGTAACTTCAGTTTGTAATCCGCTGAAACTACTGGCGATCAATATATGCAATTTAAGTTCGATCACAGAGATATACTAGTGATGAACAATAAGGTGGAGGTCATATAAATGAATAGTGACGTATTTATTTTCACTGATGGACATAACAGAATCTTTTTAATAAATATCATTGTCATTGCAGTATAGATTACAACAAGATAAAAACAGAAGACTTGTAGGTTGAATTCATTATATGAAGAAAAAATGTTTCAATAAAGAAAGAAAGATGAGATTTGCAGTACGAAATTCCATTTCACAAGTTCTCATCAGCTGCACTCCACTATCTGAAATTGCAATGGTTATAAAGAATGACAGTAACATACTTCAATGTTTGAATGGTAGTAGTAGAGAAAACATTGTAAAATTAAGGCATCAGAAACAATAAGCTTTACAATCCTCAGTTTGAGTTACCATCAATTTATATCCTTTTAAACTATGAAAAAAAGAGAGGGGTGCGATGAGAGAATACAGAAAACAGAAAAATCTAATAAACATTGTTATCTTTTAAGTTTGTATGTGAACTCAAGACAGTTATAGTTCATAAAATTGAAAACTTGCTCAGTAAGCTGAAATCACTGACTAATATAGATGACTACTCAATGTAATCATCAAAATGCAGTTACCAAGGGAGCAAGTGAGAGATTGATTACACTCTCTTTCTGTATGTATTTGTTTGGTTTGAAATGCTTGGCTGCATTTGCTTCAACAGTAAATCGTAGTAAATTTGCTGTCTTTTGTATATTTCAAATTTTGAAGGATTTAGAGATCTCGATGAAATGATCTGTATCCACAAAGTGTTTGATAATTGTAGTTTGCGAATATCTGCTTCGTTTCAAACATCAGTTTCTTGGGATATGTTGTGAAAACTTGATAGAAACCTTTCTTTCTCTTCTTTCATTGT